TTTTTTGGAAAAAATATAAAAAGAAAAGCATTGTATAATGAATTTTCTGGGGTTTCTGCAAAAAGCTCTGGTGGCACAGTGATTACACATTTGGCTGCTGACCAAAAGATCTGTGGTTCAAACACACCAGCCCCACTCTATGGGGAAAGGATCTGACAGTCTGCTTCCATAAAGATTTATAGCCTTGGAAACTCTCTGGGCAGTTCTATTCTGTCCTATAGGGTAATTATGAGTCACAAGTGACTTGCTGGCAGTGGGTTTGCTAACAGGTCTTTCTGGCAAAACATAAATATATATGTGAGGCTGGCATAGAATCAGGCAGTGTTTCATTCTGTTGTACATAAAGTCACTAAGAGTCTGAGCTGACTTGACGGCACCTAACAACAACATCAATATATGTCATTACATGTTACCATGGAATAATACATGAATGACATCTTTATTTATGATGACTTCTCATATTTATATTAATGAAAATATGGAGCTCTAAAATTTCTTTAATGCAATTTTTTTCCTTATAGATCTTTTTTGATACCAGCTACATTGTCTCATGGATTCCCTGGTGGATGGGAACCACACTGCAGTGACAGAATTCATTTTATTGGGCTTAACAGACGATCCTACCCTTCGGGTCATCCTCTTCGTGGTCATCCTGTGCATCTACCTGGTGACTGTATCTGGCAATCTCAGCACAATCATTCTTATCAGAATCTCTTCTCAGCTCCATCATCCTATGTATTTCTTCCTGAGCCAATTGGCATTGGCTGACATAGGCTACTCATCCTCTGTCACACCCAATATGCTTGTAAACTTCCTGGTGGAGAGAAATACAATCTCCTATGTTGGATGTGCCATTCAACTTTGTTCAGCCGTTTTCTTTGGGACAGTTGAGTGCTTTCTTCTGGCTGCCATGGCATATGACCGCTTTGTAGCAATCTGCAACCCACTGCTTTATTCAACCAAAATGTCCACACGAGTCTGTGTCCAGCTATTCTCTGTGGCTTATGTCGGTGGTTTTCTTAATGCTTCTTGTTTTAATATTTCCTTCTTTTCTTTATTCTTCTGTGGATCAAACCGAGTCAATCATTTTTTCTGTGATTTTGCTCCTTTAGTTGAACTTTCCTGTTCTGATGCCAGTATCATTGTAATGGTCTCCTCAACTTTTGCTGGATCCATCATTGTGGTCACATTGTTTATCATAGCCATCTCCTATGTGTACATCCCCATCACCATCCTGAAGATGCACTCCAGTGAGGGCCGCCACAAGACCTTCTCCGCCTGCACCTCCCACCTTGCTGCAGTAACTCTGTACTATGGGACCATTACATTCATTTATGTGATGCCCAAGTCTAGCTACTCTACTGACCAGAACAAGGTAGTGTCTGTGTTCTACATGGTGGTGATCCCCATGTTGAACCCTCTCATATACAGTCTCAGGAATAATGAGATTAAGGGGGCTCTCAAGAGACAGCTTGGTAGAAAAATATTTTCTTCATGAAACCTCTTATTTTGTAGGAATAATATACCATTAATGTAATATTAATGAAATTTATTTCCTGTGGTCAAAGTGTATCTGCGTATCATTAGCCAGTATGGAATTTTGTAGTAAATGGCGGCACAGGGCTATTTTCAGATAGTAAATCAGACACAATAGTGTGTTAATTTTAATAAAATGCAATTAAATTTATAATTAAGAAACATAAGTTGGTTCACAAAAAAAATGTTAATTTGCTGAAATCCTTTTTAAGTTTTACTCATGCATTTCAAAAGCAATTCTGTGTTATAAGTCAATGTTATTTTACCTCCAAACTTTTAAGACTATTCTGTGTTTATTTTCAACAACAGATTATGATGAGATGAGACCTATAACCCTAGTTATGCCCTGATTGAGTACATTCTGAAGGAAAATTACAAAGTGGAATCAGATAGTAAAATTGCTGGAAACATTCTGCTTGTTAAAAGGTTATATGCTGAAGATGATCTTTGTGGACTCAGAAAATTCAGGCCTGTCTTCTTGGGTTCTGACTCTGGCACTGAATATAAGGGGTCCCCAGAGCTAAGAAGATGAGACCACTCTGACTAACCTGTGAATTGCTTAATCAGACCAGAAGAGATGACTTCCTCTGAGGGAAGAAGCAGGCTTCCCAAAGTCCTCTGAGACTGAGCAGAGCAAATGCGAACAAGGAGTATCAGGAGAATCCAGCAAGCTGGTTGTCATTGAGGCTGTGAGGACCAAACTATTATAGGGATTTGTTTATGGTCAGACCCACATCCTTCTCAGAAAGCTCTGGGGGACTTGGCTGTTTCCCAGCTGACCTAGTGACTGCCCCCTGGAGAGGCTAAATTAACCTCTATATGCTGATGACAACTACATTTATTTCTACTTCCTTTTCCCACTTAATATTTCAGACACAAATTGCATCTTTTTTTGTAAACAAAAACAGAGGGCATGTCTTAGTCAGGGTTCTGTAGAGAAACAGAAGCAGTGAGATATATTGTTGTTAGGTGCCATCTCTAGTTGGCTCCAACTCACAGCAACCACGTGTACGTCAGAACAAAACACTGCCCAGTCCTGCAGCTTCCTCACAGTCCTTGCTGTTCCTGAGCCCATTATTGAGCCACTGTGTCAATTCATCTCACTGAGGGCCTTCCCTTTTTTTGCTGACCCTCTATTTTACCAAGCATTGTATTCTTCTCCAGGGAATGATCCCTTTTGACAACATGACCAAAGTAGGTGAGACAAAGTGTGGCCTTTCTTGCTTCCAAGGAGCAAGAATATATATGCAGAGAGAGAGAGCAAGAGAGAGAGAGAGATTAAGGTATTGGCTTAAACAATTCAGGGGGTTAAAAAGTCCAAAATCTATAGGTTAGGGAAAAGGTTTGAAATTCCAGCAGTCTTGTCTATTTACATTTTTGGTGCAGAGCCTTTCTTCTTCTGGAAACCTCTGTTTAGCTAAAAGAGAACTGATTTAAATATTAATCACATGTAGACATCTTCACAGCTATATCTAGGCTAGTATATGGTCAAAGAACTGGGCACCGTAGCCTAGCCAAGTTAACTCATAAAATGAACTATTATAGGGCATTAATTTTTTCTAATTCATTTTACCAATTATATTGAGTACTTCAAATATTCCAGGTACAGTCTAGCCTGGTGGAAATATACATGACAAACAAAGATGTACGTCCTTCTAGTATAGGACACCAACCGAAAACCAACTGTGATGGAGTCAATTCCAACCCCTGGTGATTCTATATGACAGAATAGAACTTCCCATAGGGTTTCCAAGCCTCTAAGTCTTTACAGAAGCAGAACTGCCTCATAATTCATCCACAGAGCACCTGGTTGGTTCGAACTGCTGGCCTTTAGGTTAGCAGTCAAATGTCTTAACCAGTATACTACCAGAATTCCTTAGAAACAGACAACAAAATTAAGTGATTATTATTCTAATCTGGTTACCTAATGCCACTCTGACAAGAATATACCACAAATGTAATGGCCTTAACAAACAGGAGTTTATTCTCTTACAGTTCAGAAGGCTAGAAGTCCAAGTTCAAAGTGCCAGGCTCTTCTGCGGTCGCACAGCGAACTGAGTGACCCTGACAATAAAGGCAGCTCAGAGATACGCGACTGGTGGTAGGACCTGAGAATTGGCCCAAAAATCACCCTGCCAGCCAGGGACTG